GCAAGCATTTGCATAATCTTAAAACTATCCTGTTCATCTTCATAAAAATTATTTCCATAATATAATTTCATGTTAGGTTTCTACTTGGTTGATTAATGGCACTAGTGCTTACAACTTTTCTTTGACTAGCTATTTTAGAATGTTTTCTCTCAAAAGCATTTGATGAACATATCCTTACTGCAAAGAAATCCTCCAGGAACCTGATGGTATTGATCTCTCTTACTCTCATTTCAGAATGGGTAAGCTTTCCCCTCATTTACAGCTACATCTGAGGACCATGTACTTTCCCTCAGCCTTCCTAAAATAAAAATCTTACCATCTATGGATCCTTTTTGCTTCTTGTGTTTATGTTTGTTCTCTTTTTTTCCTAAAGACTGTTTCTGATCAATGATTTCTTGTGCTGTGTTGTCATCTGCACCACAGCTACTGAGCTAGACCAAATCAGCTTTATTTTGTTAAGGGGTAGAGTTTATCTGCTTCATTAAGTAGGAGGTAAAAAATTAATTAAGAATCACAATAAGCCAATATGAATCCAGAGTAGTTCAACTGAATTAACTTAAAAGGGCATTGCTGTAATTAAGAACAAAATGAAGATTGTCCTTTGCTTTTTGTGTTCTTTAGTCTTTATTTCTCTCTTTATTTGTTTCTCTAGTTCTTGATATTCCTATCCTTTCTAATTTCTGTAGAATGATTCAAGTCCTCTGTTGATGTTTGATCATGCTGTGTATCTGCCTGCTGAGCATATCAATGTCTGCTTTTCTTTCAGCTTACTCGTTACAGCATGATACAATAATACAACACTCATGAAAAATCATCTATTCTTTCTCACTGAAGGCTCCCCAGACACTTAGAAGTTTTCTTGTGTTTATTTTTTGGTCTCACTCTACTCTTACTGTATCTGGTTTTATGAGATTAATTATTAATGGTATGCCTTTCAAATACACATCAGTATGGCAGCCTTCAGATTTTCGTCAGGCAATTTTAGCACCTGGACACTGCAAATGATTGCTTTGGTGGAACAAAAGAGTCAGTATGTGCTCTTGTAGGCAAGTTTAAGATGAAAGGAATAGGCATTTGCAGTTACAGATCTGGAACCATATAATCAGTTGGTGTTAATGGTAGCATTTCAATCTTGTGTTACTTAAATTTGTGCTTTTTTCTCAGCATCCACTGGGCACTGCTGGAAGAAGCAATGTTCTGATCCCAAGGCAGGTGCAGCTGGTTTGGTTCTCTAAGTTTATGTGAACACAGAATTAGTTATCATAGAATCACAAAATGTTTGGAAGGCATCCTAAAGACCATCTTGTTCCAACCCCCCTTGCAGGGGACACCTTCCACTAGATCAGAGCCACATCCAACCTGGCCTTGAACACTTCCAGGAATGGGGCACCCACAACTTCTCTGGGCAACCTGTTCCAGTGCCTCACTACATCTAATATAAATCTCTCCTCTTTTAGTTCAAGATAATACCCCCTTATCCTATCACTACCTATCCACCTAAAACATATCTCTCCCTCTTTTTTATAAGTTCTCTTCAGGTACTGGAAGGCCACAGTGAGGTCTCCTCAGAGCCTTTTCTTTTCCAGCTGTACAGTCCCAACCCTCTCAGCCTGTCTTCATAGGACAGGAGCACCTCTC